CGGAAGCTCGACCTGCACGTGGTGTAAGGGGGGCTGGAGAATCCCAAACAGTCCTTGTGCTTCTGCAACTCCTCTGGCACGGCTGTGAACTCACAGCTTTGAATGAGAGGGCTCAAACACGCTTCTAGAACATACAGAATTCACATCAACCCATGGATTTAGGTTCCTTTACAGCAAACATCATTTAGGACATCAGAAAGCCTCGCAGGTGCTTTCGGGTTGGGTACAACACATTCAGGCGTTTGGTTCTACAAGGGGAAGTCGGTGCTTATGCAAGAAGATGTGTTGGATGCACCAAGAGACATTAAAACCAGGCGCTGAGAATTCTTCTGGAGAACGAGAAGAGCCTGGTTTGCATTCCCAGCACTCCTGCCTCGCTCCCTCCTACGCAGACCACGGCAGCAGCGAGGCTGAGCAGCTCCGTCCACGTTTCCTCCTACCTCCACAGACCGGGCACCGCCGACCGCTCTGCTCTACTTCTATGAAGGTAAATAATTGTACGAGTCCAGAACCTTCAGGGCATGTTAAGACATAAAGTATTTATTATCAAAAGCAAGAAAAATCACACCGTTCACTTCCTTCAGGAGGTCTGAGGCCACTTAGGAGCCTGTGAGCACATGGAAGTCCTGGCTGTATCACAGGCTGGTTCCATTATCCGGTTCCATTATCCGGTTCCATTCCTCTGCTCTCTCAGCTGCTCAGACACACAGCTGGCAGGGAGAGATTATTTTAACTCTTTCCTCCCCAAATAACGTGTGTATTTCCCACCAGCTCCCACAAGGTGCGAATCTTCAGTCATCATCTGGTTTGTGCCTCTGTCTCTAATGAGTTAAAACCACAAACTCCCTATCTCCCTCCTCCAACGTGTTTGAAAGAGGATATAACATTCTGATAAGAAACTTAAGAGGCTTTTTTTTGGTCTCTTATCCTGATAAATGCAATTTGAATTTTCAGAGCAGCGTGACAACGGCATCCGCTCCCACCAGTGCCGAGCAGTCCATGTCTAAGATTTAGAACAGCTGCAACGAGGCATTTCCAAAGCTGCATCTTTTAGGAACAATTTTGATCTCACTCCCTTGAAGCATCTTCGCTTACATTTCAACTTTTGGTATTAAAGATAGTCAGGGAAAGGACAGACATATTCCAGGTCACGTTTCAAAAGGTATTCAGAGTCTTAATGGCCTAAGTCAGTGCTATGTTAACGTTTCTTTGACCAAAAGGAAAAATAGCCTAAATTCTGCTATCCAGAAGTAGTAGTTTTCCGCAAGAACAAACCTATTCTACTTATTTCTGTTTTCAGAACACACATAAAAATACTTTCCTTCTATTACTACCTTTAAGTCTGGATACAGACATATAATTCTGTCCATTTTCAAAAGCTGAATGGATTGCCAAGACTTTAAAGACTCCCTGAAGCTAAGAAGAACTGAAATTAATGATTTCTATCTCCAGGGAAGGTAAAAAGGGTTACACTGGGAGTATTAATCCACTCTAGGCTGTAATTACATTTTAACAAGAAAAATGGGTTTGTATGTCACTTAATTATACCTCAATATCCCTCTGGAAATTAAACAGGTCAATTCGCTGCCAGTTACTGCCATCCAGGGCCAGAACATTCCATGCCTTTATAGGAGGGGAAAAAATATAAGCGTGTTGTTAATATGAAAGAAAAACAACAAACCAACCAACAACCCACCAGTGGGGACCCAGTTAGATTGTTCCTTTTAAAAACAACGTTCTGTCTCAGGTGTAAAAGCAACAAGTCATTACAGCCAACAAGGAAAACTGTGCCGGTACCGGAACCGCTTGCTCGGACAAGAGGCCCCCCCTACATGGCACACTCTTTGCCAGCCCCCGGAGCCGGCGAGCACGCCGTGCCCACTGTGCCCCAGGCAATTCTGCTCCCACGGGAGGTGCTGGTGCCGAGCTCAGGACAGGAGGCAGTGCTGGAGCCCAGGCATCTTCGCAGTCCTGGCTGGAATCTAATCCCTCCGCAGCATCACCAGCTAAACCAACGCCTATAGAGGACGCTGGCAGGACCAACACGAAGATGAAGGATTCCAGGACATGGGTGAGTCCCAGATAAGACCCTACACCAGACAAGAGAGGTGAAGCTAATCGGAGGGCGCTGGGTGGGGGACTGGGTGGTGCTGGGATGGAGGACCGTGCGGCGAGATGCCGCAAGCGATGGATAACGCTGCCATCTCGCACACCTTCACTCTGGCTTCCAGCAGGAAGAGGTGTGGGACCGCTGGGTGCACGGGGTGCTGTGTCCCACAGCTTTGTACGCTGTCCAGATAAAGCACCCAGCTCTCACCCAAGACCTATGCACTGCTGCTGGAGTGACGGCGTTTACTACCTCTGCCCTGAGTGGTTTGGTTTAGTTTTAGTTGTGGTTTTTTTTTAAGGAGAAAAAAAAAAAAATTCTTATATGGTTCATGCTACCAACGAGAACCAGGCACTGAAAGTTAGTAATTCTGCCCTTAATGAACTGAAAAGGTTGTCAACACAGTACTACACTTGAAGTTTTAATTACACAATCAAAGCAAACAGCTAGATCCCATAATAACCGGGAGTCCCCCGTTACGAAAGAGTGCACGTAAATAGGGATATTTTTGTACGACATCCATTACAAGCACCAAGCTACGTCTCCATCACAACACTTGTGTAAGTCCTGTGCAGACTTACAACAGCCAACAGAACCAACCATTAGTTTTCTATGTTTTACATCTCATCGCTGACATTTGTTTCGGAGTCTGGTTATTGCCGTAAGAAAAGCAACAGCTCCAGTGGATGCAAGTTGTAACACGGCACGTTTTAACGCGTAACGCAGGGAACGCTACACCCACCGCCCTTCTGTGGCTCTGTGCAGACACCTCAGGCCTTTACAACACGTGCTGTGTCACATCATGACTCACACCACCTCTGATGCCCTCTGGACTGCGTAAACAAAAACAGGAGTACAACTTGACACTGGCAAGTGTCTTTGACAGCCCGTGCTGATCAATATTGCTCTGCTGGGCAGCAAGTTTCAGCTGGAAGAACTTTCTCTAGAAGACCTAGATCATTCACAGAACATGGGATGATGAATGGAACGCCTGGACATCACACAGGGTATTTTTTTTTAAATGTTTAAGCATAGCCTTTTTTTATTCTCACGTACTCTGAATAACGAAACAAGTTATGGTTCAAGTTCAAGCCCACAACTGATCAGTTTTGTACAGGTGTCACTCAGCACCAGTGATGGTGAACACACCACCACGAACACCTCCCCGTGTAACAGACTCCCCACTCTTGCTGTGGTAATGCTTCCTCTGGGTGTCTTAGTAGATACTGGCAGGATAAAGCACCTGAACACGTCTGGTGGCTCTAGATAACCGGACCTGCAGCTGAAGGAATTTTCCCAAGTGAATAATTCAAGCTGGATTTCATTAGCTGAAGCTAACGAAACTATGAGCTACTTAAGGAAAAAAAACCCAACAACCAACCAACCCTAAACAAACCAGACACTCATTTTTTTTCTTCCACACTTACATGAACTACATCCAAGCAGGAAAGTAAACTTTCATTGACTGCACAGCACCTTTATGAATCAAAACTTCTGTATCTCCACCAAAAGACCATTTTAGAGTCATCCAAACTCGGTACGTTCATCAGCGCGGGGCTCCTGTGCAAACGTGGGCTGACTCCAGAGTTCTGGGGTGAAAAAGTCAGCCCCTTCCCCCCTTCCTAACCTGCCTGGGGCCTGGGACACCGGGAAAATGGTATTCAAGCTTTGAGCCCCCCTTCACTGGTGCCATCAGAAGTTTCTGGCATCGCAGCGTTAACATGGGACACCAAAAAACAACAGCTGAGTTGCACAAAGCTCCCTGGTACAAACCCTCCCGGCCTGACGTGCCGGGGAAGGCTGGAGTGGGAGGACACCCAAATCCAGCCAACTGTTCCAATCCATCCGCAAGGAGGAAGGTTCTTACCCTGGAGACTTGAGCACAACGACACAGAGTGACCACATCCAGGAAAGAGAAAATTCTGTAAGAGAAATAAGAAATACCTTATTGGTTATCGACATTTAAAACAAAGAGCATATGGAAAACAAAGAGGGGGGGGGAAAGGACTGGAGGCAGCAAAACTTCTTTGTAATTCGGCCGAAAGCTGAACTGTGAAAAGCAGCGCAGACCCGGCAGTTAACAAACGGCAGCAAAACACGGGCACCGAGCTACTGTGAAACATTCATCTGGCCCCTCACAGCACTTACTGACAGCAAACCAAACGATTTTTTATCAAAAAAAAATTTATTTGGCCAGCAGGGCGAGGGAGGGGATTCTGTCCCTCTGCTCTGCTCTCATGAGACCCCCCCCTGGAATACTGCGTTCAGCTCTGGGGTCCCAACACAAGGACATGGAGCTGCTGGAGC